TCCCTACCATAACAACTCTGTGAGGTGAGCTAGGCTCAGACAGAGTGTCTAGCCCAAAGTCACCCTGCTGGCTTTCATGTCTAAGGGAGGACTAGAACACACAATCTCCTTATTTCTAGGCCAGCACTTTAAACACTACATCAAACTTGGTTGGTATTCATATCTCAGCAGTTTTTAATGCTGTTTATTTACTTATTTCACAGTTTTTGTAACCCACCCCAATCTGCAGATTCTCAATAGAATACAACAGAGTAAAAATACTTTGATTTCTTTTCCTAAACAGAACTTTCACTTATTTCTATTAAATGTCTTTGTTTTTCAGTCCATATCTTTAACTTATCAACTTATCAAGATTTTGAATTTTGTTTTTGTTTTATAGGGCATGTGTCTAAGGGTGATTTCCTGTTTTGCTACTCATTGGAATAGGATGTAGCTACACAAATAGCCCCTTCTATAGTGAGGAGTGAAAGCAGAATATGGGGAAATGTTTTGGCCCTATTCCTATTTTTTAAAAATCTTGGATCAGCTGCTATGAAAATAGCCAGTCCTCACCTTCATAGCTGAGCTACATTTCCTTCTGTGGGATAGCCAAATCACTCTCCCTAATTACTTATCTCTCTCTTTCCCACCCTCACTCCCCCCCCCCCAGTATAGATCACATTCCTGTGTCCTGTGGCTTCAGGGAAGTGAGGATAGTTTTCAACCTGTTCACAAATCATAAAAGTTTATAGTGGAATTGTAGCCTTGATTTAAATATCTCAGCAAGTGGCATTTGACTGATCTTGTCTGAACATGGAAGCTAAGCAGAGTTGGTGAAGTTGGATTAGAGACCACTAGGATATAACAGGGCTATAAGCTAGAGTGAGCATATTATATGTGTGTATCTCATCTCTCTCTCTTTTTCTCTATCTCCTGGAAAAAGGCAATGGCAAACCACTTCTGTACCGTTGGCAAGGAAACTGCATGGGTTGGGTCCATGTAATCACCAGAACTTGAGTTCCTTGTGAAAAGTTTTACCTTTAAATGTTTACATGTTTTACATTTAAACATGTGCATCTTCCATTTTCTCCATGTTTTAAGTGATACAGAAACAATTACTATTGTTTGTTAAGACTAAATCAAAATTAAAAGTGATTTCAGTAAATTTTCCAAGTGAGTCTGTTTAGGACTGAGCTTTAATTAGCAGCCTAATTTGAAAGTGTAACTACTAAGAGTAATTTTTGATTGAGGCAGGATATAAATAAATAAATAAAACCTTTTAATTTAGTTGTGACCTCTAGGTGATGTAAAAATACAAGCCTTTTTTTCTGAATAAGAACAATAACCTTTCCTAAATATTGTCTAAATCCAATCCTCATTCAGTAATAGCAAGATGGAAGCAATTCCTTGCAAGAATCCTGTGTATAAGTTATTCAGTCCATAGTGAGAAAAGCAGGTAGTATTGTGGTGAAAAGGTAGAAGATAATGGGGGTTATATATGCATTGCGAAATACTTTGCTTTATAGACATCATAGAAAAATTAACATGTGTAACACTCCTTTCTTTTACATCAAGACCTTTAGAGATTCTCAGGGATGTGATATTGTTCAAGAAAATTGAACCCAAGCATTGGTTGTGATGTTTACAAGCATAGGTTATATTTACATCTTAACATGTATAGTTGAAATGATCACTTTTATTTCAAAGAAAAGACAGCCATGGGTTCCTGATCCATACATACTCCTAGTCAGGATGAAGACTTCAAGCCCTAGTTTCTATCAATATCCACAGCATACCTTCATCTTTAAAGATTGCATAATTCCTAAAAGCTGCAGGTGGGTGGTATAAGGAAAACATGAGACAAGCAGTGTTTTGTCCCATACATACTATTTGTCCCTTACCTACTATTTGTCCTACATAACTTGCATTGGGGAAAAAAGATCTTAAATGTATTAATTATACCTAATGATTCAGTCATATATAGACTTACTTCTTTCTATTAGAAAAGCAACAGAAGGTTTGTTTTATTAGTTCTTTTGACTAGTATGATAAAATTATGAAACATTGAAAAAGCAATATAGTATGTTGTCTTAAACTAAATCATGCTATTTGATTATGTCCCCAAGCAGGGAACAGTTTTTCAGGATCTCCATCTTGATAATTAAAATGTTAAAATTGCATTAGGATTTTTATTTTTGTTGTACTGTACTGTATTGTACTGTACCTCATTGTCTTTATTTTTCTGTACAAGTTAAGGAACTATGTGTATCTCCAGCATTTATGTACACTGAAGGCATGTTCAAAAGTATATTTTTTTCTTGTAGAATATTCTTATGATTGATAAGAGAAAATATAAAATATAAAAGCCTTGTTTAACTTTAAATATTAAACAGAGCTTTTATATGTTCTCTTTTTTCAATAGTTGCATTTTCTTTATCTCTTATGAGATTGGTTTATCTTTTAAGGAGGAGTTGAATCCTCTAGCCACATGTTTCTATGCTATATGACCAAGAAATGGCATTATAGAAATTATTACAACTCTCGCATTTTGACCTTTTAATAACCAGAAAGGCAGGTTAGGGTGTACCAGCCCTATGTACCTCATTCATCAGGGATAAGGGAAGAACTCCCTGGTAGCAGCAGGACCTACCAAGCAGAAGCCAGGGGCAGGATATGAAGATCCAGAGTCTTTCTGAGAGAGGAATGTTGAGACCTTTAGCTTTCTACCCCTGGCCTCAGTTGTCCACTACAACTTGTTAAGTACTTTATCCATGCTGTACACTGTTTATACATTAATAAAGTGAGTTCTGCTGCTACTAGGCAACTGCTTGACTGAAAAACTGAGTATTTACAAATAATTTATTTTGCCTAAAACTGTGGTCCTTTTCATCAGTCATAGACAGATGTATGTATCCAAAGTTTGTACAGCAAAGTTCAGATGAGATATCAAAGGACAATCAAAATATTTTAAATATTTTTCCTATCTGTGGTTTTTCTCAGTGAAGAAATAAAGAGAAGGCATATAAGCAGTGAAGTGTATATTTTAAAAATATCCAGTGGAACACACAGTATTTATATGGAAAGAATACTGGACTATGAGCAACATGAGCATTCTCTAAAAATATTTCAAAATATAAAAAAGAATGGGGAAGTATGTCAGATTACAGACAAAAGGATGCATGCCTGGACTTATTCCATGAGTCTTCTCAGTACCCTTTAGTCACTGGAACCAGCAATGCAATGTTTAAAAGGGGTTTGATCATTTTGAATAGATGAGTCAACTAGTGAGTGTGTGGCCATATAAACTGAACAAACAAATGAGTTTAACATGTTATATAGTTAGAGATATGTGAATTAAATAACAGGCATGTGAGAAAAGGCAAGCATAATTGACGTACTATATATTGCTTATTTGTGCTATCCTTAAAGATAATATCTATATCTATACCTATATCTTATAACTAGGTCAGAGCAGTTGAAAAGAAAACAAGCAGAAATAAAGTATGTGTTAGCATTTCACAAAAAGTCATGTAAGGATAATGTAATAATTATGTAAAGGCTGTAGAAGTAGCATATACTGTAGTTTCTAAATGGGCCAAGGTTTCTCTCTCGCAAGGACCAAAAATGTATATAGTACATTTAGGCATTAAATGTCAGGCAGCTTAAAAGAATATGTGTCTTCTTTTGAAAGCAGATCCTGTTCTTCATAGAGTTAAACAACATTGGAGAACTATGATTTATAATTCCAACAGATAAGGAAGATAGATTTGTTATAATCAGCAAAGTTTAATTATACATTAAACATTCTGCCTGTTCTTATTATCTTAGGAAATTAGATAAGAAAGTCTGATTTATTTTAACTGAGAGGGAAATACTTAGGATATTTAAATATAGTTCTAGAGATCATGGAGAAATTTGTCTGCTGATCATACTAGGTATTCCTGTATAGGTACCCTAGTTGTATATTTTCAGCCAAATGAATAAATGCAAATAATGAGCCAAAGTTCAGTTTATGCAATGTAGGCTCCTCTAGGAAAAAGAGAAGAACAGCTTAACAGGGTCAATGGGGCAATTAACCTTCAGCCAATTAAGCTTTAGCAAGTTAAATTTAGCACAAAACAGATCCAGCCATGCATAGGGTTAAATTCATTTTATCCAGTCAGTCATACTGTGAGAACATGTAAACCCAGTCAATTAACCTGTTTTGCAGGCCTGTTCATCCAAGAACAGGAATGCTTGAAAGAGCAATCTTCCATGATAAAATTCACTACTAAGGCCTGGCAGCAGAAAACACACTTTTCTAAATGTCGGTTGGTTGCACCAACTGTGGATTTTACTTTTTCTGTCAGTGTGATATGAAATTTTATGTTATTTTTCATAATTTTTATTAAAGATTTTAGTTATAGTAGTAAAAACAAATACAAATTAAACTCAGAAAAAGAAGGAGAAATAGAAAAAAAGAATAAAAATTGCAAAAAAAGAAAAAGAATAAGATAAAAGGGAAAAAAAGAAATATATAAAGGAGTGACTTCTGATCTTCATCACAACAAATGAAAACAAATTTGGTAACTTTTCACCCTCTATAAC